ATATCTCCAGAGAAGGAGACTCCACAGCCTCCCTGGGCAGCCTGGGCCAGGGCTCTGTCACCCTCAGAGGGAAGAAGTTCTTCCTCATGTTCAGAGGAATAGTCAATTTTGTATGACATAAAAATGCACATTGTACTTTTCACAGTGCTTCTAAAAGTTCATGGAAACTTCTGAAAGAAATTTAAGAATAAAAAAATCATTGTTTCATTGTTTCAAAACAAGACCTGAAATTTCCAAAACTTCTTGCAGAACAAAATCCCTCCAAAGTTTGCTCCGAATATTCTTTGTTCCCTTTTGAAAGCTTCCACACCGACTGGACAGGGAGACCCAAACCATCGGATAACCCGGTATGTGAAGGCAGGACTGCTGCTACGGACCCGGGAAGGGAGCTCTGCTCAGAATGGGAGCTCCCAAGATTTCTGTGCTCCCAACTTTGTGTGAAGTGTTTTGGGAGCCATGGGCTACTGTCCATGGGATGGACTCTGGGGTGCCTCTGCTGCCAGGAAACCCACATTCCAGCCTTGGAAACTCAAATCCATCAGCAGCTCCCCAGGCAAGCTAACAGAAAGCTGTCTGTCAGAAAGACCTCTGCCTCTGAATGAAATCTCTGAACTACAGCTACTTTCCCATAAGGTGCCAGTTTCAGTGAGCTGACATTTCCAAGGACAGACCTGGAAAACACACGAGCAATTCAACCCTCACCTTCCCAGCATTTCTGACTGCATTTTAAGAGGAAACCACAAATCGATACACCAAATTCAAAACCAAAATAAACTTAACAGCGTGCTGAAGTTTTGTATTTACTAAACATGTTCTTATATTTGAAAACCACTTAGTGGACTTAAATTTCAATTTTTCGTCTCAGCTTTGATCTCAAACCAGTGACAGTATTTTTGATTTTCAAGCTAGCAAAGCCAGAAGAAAAAGGGGTTGCACTTTGGTAGGTCTCTGCATGTAATTTGCTGATCTGATCTTAAAACACAACTTCCTTTGTGATTTACAAAGCAGCCGTGAAGGCCTCCAGATCCTTACGGCTCCCTTTGTGCTCTCCAAGCTGTGACTTCAGTGTGGTGGGTTGACCCTGGGTGAATGCCAGGGTCCCACAAAAGCCGCTCTGTCACTCCCCTCCGCAACGGGACAGGGGAGAGAAAATATGTAACAAAAGTCTTCTGGGTGGAGATAAGGACAGGGAGGGATCACTTGCCAATCACCATCACGGGCAAAGCAGACTCAACCTGGTGAAAAATTGATTTATTACCAACCACATCAGAGTAGGATAATGAGAAATAAAACCAAATCTTATAATTCATCACCAATCAAATCAGAGTAGGATAGTGAGAAATAAAACCAGATCTTAAAACACCTTCCCCCCACCCCCACTTTCTTCCTGGGCTCAGCTTCACTCCCGTTTTTCTACCTTCTCCCCATGGTGCAGGGGGATGGGGAATGGGGGTTGCGGTCAGTTCATAACATGTTGTCTCTGCCGCTCCTTCCTCCTCAGGGGAAGGACTCCTCACACTCTGCCCCTGCTCCAGCTTGAGGTTCCTCTCATGGGAGACAGTTCTCCACAAAGTTCTCCAATGTGAGTCCTTCCCACAAGCTGCAGTCCCTCAGGAACAGACTGCTCCAGCGTGGGTCCCCACAGGGTCACAAGCCCTGCCAGCAGACCTGCTCCAGCGTGGGCTCCTCTCTCCACGGGTCCGCAGGTCCTGCCAGGAGCCTGCTCCAGTACAGGGCTCTCCACAGGGTCACAGCCTCCTCTGGGCATCCACCTGCTCTGGTGTGTGGTCTTCCATGGGCTGCAGGTGGGTATCTGCTCCACCATGGGCCTCCATGGGCTGTAGGGGGACAACCTGCCTCACCATGGTCTTCTCCATGGGCTGCAGGGGAATCTCTGCTCCGGTGCCTGGAGCACCTCCTCCCCCTCCTTGGTGTCTGCTCTTCCGGCTGCAATTGCCATTCCACATTTTTTTCTCCCCTTTTTAAATACATTATCAGAGAGGTGTTACCACCATCGCCGATGGGCTCAGCCTTGGCCAGCAGCAGGTCCGTCCTGGAGCCGGCTGGCATTGGCTCTGTCAGACATGGGGGGAAGCTTCTAGCAGCTTCTCACTGAAGCCATCCCTATAGATTCCTGAACTACCAAAACCTTGCCACGCAAACACAATACATTTATATAAACTGAGGAATTCTGTGTTCAGCTTAGAAGAGTTTGAGTACTTTTTTGGGGTATTTTTTTAATGTGAAATGTGTTGTCTTTTTGCAGTGTTCATGGCTACTGTCTTTTCATCAGAAAAGCCGGGTCCCATAGCACCATCTTAATCTGATCAACTGTACTGTCAGTAGTCAAAGGTCACATTTAGGATTTACAGATAGCTGAAACGAATGGAAATGGTTGTCTCCCGGCTATTGTTTAAACAGTATATTTAGACTAAATGGTATTACGACTGCAACTTTGGGAAAGGAAAGATGGATTTCTTTAAAATTGCCCCAAGACTCCCCAGAGATCTTCAGACTGTTTACATGGGCAATAATTCTGTAAGATATTCTGAAATCATTCCACCCTCAGATGGCATATGCCTACATCTGGGACAAAACAGCACATTTAACAGCACATCTAAATGCCACACAACAGCACAGACCACGAAATGAGGGTGACTGTAAAACAACACATTGGGTAAAGGTTATACTTGATGTTTACTTCCATAGGTGACACTTCCAGAAGCTGCAGACAGACAAATGGAGCTTTGACTGCAAAAAAAGAGACAGTGTCTGACCTCATTTATGTAAGCATGAATCCAGAGTAACTCTTAAAACAACCTATAGCATTATTTTGTGCTTAGCCAGACACTTCAACTAACTGGGATCTTAGTGGTTAGTTCTTCGTTTATTAAGACATCTCAGTCTATTTTTCCACTTCTCCTTAACACTCAGCAAGCTATAAGTGAAGGAGAAGGAACTGCCCGTGCTGGAGGTAATCTTTCCTCTACTCCCTCGCTGCTGCTCTAGGCAATCACCTCTCCTTGATGCAGGCCAGTGGGGACACCAAGGCAAGACACAACAACAGACTGCAGCACTGAACTGATACAAGCTAATCCACAGTCCCAGGAAGATAGTGGAAAGCATCACACTGCCTCCAGGGAGCGTTTGCTAAAACTCCTGTGACAGACATAGATAGCCACGCCAAAATCCAAGTTACCTTCATAAAACCGGATCTTGTCCCTTAGGATCACCATGCCTTTTGTGAGCAGCTGATTCTGCAAATAAAAGATACACTACATTTATTCAATTCTGTATTTCCCTATTCAATTCGTTATTTCCCTCCAGCCACCATATTTCACAACCTAATCTGTTCATTCTTCACTTTTGACAATAAAGCGGGTCTTTTATTTTAATGATCCATCATCAAAGGACTCCTCCTGTGTCCATCTTGCTTAAGTCATTTGGGCCACTTGTCAAATGACGACAGAATCACCTGTTGCTTTCTGGATACAGTACATATTCTGTGTGGTTCAAAGTGTTTCTCAACCTTCAGATGGCTGGCCTACAAAGTACGTGCTTTATCTCTGAGCAGCAGAAAGAATACTGCTTCAATAGACAGTGCGTACCGCCTGCGAAATGTCTTTCCTATTAACTATACTACAATGAACTTCACTGGTTTACTCAGGAACTTAAATTTTCAATTAAAAAAGAGTATCTGAAGTCTACTGAAAGGCAGCAAAGTCATACAGAAACAGAGTGACTGCACAAATGTATTTGATGGCTTGGGCTTTCACTATCTAACTATATATATATATATATATAAAATCCAAATCTCATTAGTCCATAAACGACAGAACATAAGAGTAGTCAGTGGACATCTCTGAATGGTTTCAAGGGGCTCCAGATCAGCATTTAGAGTGGGTGAAATGGTTTTGCTCAGTAGCATATAATGAAATCTGATTTAAGTGAAAGAAAAAATATGCCTACCTGTAGGTACTCAGTGAAAAAGGATCCCAGTTCTGTTTTCAGTAATTGCCTGTATTAAAAAGAATACGAAAAGGATCTGTGTGATCAGCAAATGGCATTAGCTGTGCACTGCATGGAAAAGACAAAGTCACTAATAGCAAAATAGTTTCATATGAGCACAGAGCCTGTCAGTAACGCCTAACTAAAAGCAGAGCACAGGAAGTCAACAACACCAAGACGCTCACCCAGCATGTGTGTGTTGAAAAGTCTCTGCTGTGCTTTTAGATGGCTCAGTTGCACGAATACATACGAAAGGAAATCGAGATTTGATGAAAAGAGGATACTTTCCATCCTACATCTAACCCTTTTAAAAACCCTCAAGTTTTTTTCCTGCTGTGCCAGGACTTCACTGGCGCCCGGCACTGCAGATACGGGAGAGCTCCTGGTGCTCTCTGCCCACCCGCGGGCCTGAGCCAAAAACCGAGCACGTGACTTGGCTGACCTGTTCAGAGCCAAACCACCCCTGTCCTGCCTAAGGCTGAAAAAAAGGGCTGTGACTACATGTTTAGAGAGAAACTTGAAGCAGGATGATATTCTGTGGGTTTTGTTGTAGGTGTGAAACTTCACCGGTTTGCATTGAAAGGGTCACAGGCTTCCACTCAGGAGACCCACAACAGCTGAAGTTTCATATGGTTTCAGTGAAAAAGCAGGTAGGAATTTAAGAGTTTAGCTCTGCCTCTCATGATCCCTCTACACTAAAACCTACACAGCAATCTCAGAAAGCAAACCAAACTCACATGCAAAAGAATTCCCACAACCAACCCTTGAATTCAGAAAACTGAATTCAACCCAATCTGCAAGCCCAGCATTTGTATCCAGATAAAATTCACTACATTGCTAAAAATCTGTATGTCATTTAATGCTAGACATACCTCTCAGCACTCAGGTCGCTATTTAGATGCGTAAATGAGAGCTCAGACCTTAAAAAACGTAGCCCCAGCTGGGCTTCCTGAACATTTGCAAATCTGGCCTGGAGCTCTTTTGAAAACCTGTCTCTGTGTGCTCACCTCAGGTCCCATGAAGAAATGAGGTCAAATTCAACTTAAAATCTAAACACCCGCTTCGGCTGGAGTAGTCATGTAAATTGCACATTGGGTAGTATGTTATCATCTACCCCTTTGGGTTATGTCTTTAACTAACAAGTAACTAACTGAATTACTAAACTAGAAAACAAATACACGTCTGTTTAAAAAGTCCAGCATATCCCTGCGCTCTGCAGGAGATGGGTCTGATGTTTTTAACACCACAAGCTTCAGCACAGCCTCTTGAGATCTTCTGAAAGTGCAGGGAAATGAGGAGCACGTGAATCTTTAAGAGGACAAAATACAGTATCTTATTGATCCTTAAGCACATGTTCACACTGACCACACAGCACCCTGTGGAAACACTCTAGGCACAAACGATATAGAAAAGAAACAAAAGGAAGGTGGTTTTCAGATGCTCCTAAGCATCAAAATCCTTTTCTGCTAGAAACCCCATTAATTCAGACGAACTAACTATGGACAAAAATTTTCAAAGCCACCTCAGTCTTCAGCCATAGGTTGAGCCCCCTTGGCAGGCTGTTGCAACATATGGGAGTGGACAACCCTTGCAGTGCCCTGAGACTCCATCCTCAGCAGCACCCACTGACCAGCCCTTGGCAGGGGCTAAAACCTACCTCTGCCACAGACTGCTGAAGCTTTAAAGCCTTGAGAGTGCGTCGACGAGTACAAGGATGCCATAGCCAAATGGCGCCATGCTCAAAGTGCGAATTTACTGCCAAAGTGGTGTGATTTTTTTCTGGATTGCAAGCAATGGCACTAAAGGTTTTTCCTTCCTTTGAACTTGGATAGATAAACCATTTTTAGGTTAAAACAACAACAAAGTTGCAGTTCTGAATTCTCCTATGATAGAGACAATTTATTCCCAGATATCTCTTTGTGCCACTGTTTCAAAAAAATGTCAGTACTTTACGCTGACAGGTTTTGCTTCATTTTCTGCTCTCTCCTCAAACTAGCAGCTCTTTGAAATGTAATCCTGGATACCTCATACCCTTGAACAGATAATTTGCAAACACCTTCTCTTTTCATATTTAGGTTCTACTGATAATTCCTGGCATTTAGGACAGGAAATACAAAATGATGTTCTAATTAACCAATAACTAGTCCTCCTCTGATAAAACAAAATCCTAGCACATTTCCCTTTCTCAGCTGTGAATGAACTAAACACCCAGCTTGTAGTTAATTATACGGACTGGACTGTATCACCAAGCAGCACTATGGCTACATCAGCATCTCTGTTTACAGGGTGGAAGAACTGACAGAAAAATGAATGCATCTTGCTCTTTGAATCCCTAATAATACAGATATTTCATGCTGCTTAATTAATTTATTGTGAAATAGCGAGGCCCTCGGGCCACATCAGAACATTGGTGTTTGATGTTCTCTGTACCCATATTCATTTAACAGAGATCCACGATGAAACTGGATCCCAGACCTTGCTTGCAATTTTTTTCATCCTTGCTTACTCTCCTTCAACAAAAATCAGTCAGGTTGTCACCTGTCAGATCCTGGATAATTCAGATTACTGAATAACCTGATCTAGATATGTGGACATCATGGTGGAATCTATGTAAAAATCTGATTAAACCAAAAAGAGACCCCTGGTCAGCTATCAGACCTCATTTCAAGTGCATCAGATTTTGAAGCCAGTCGTTTCACACTCTCACAAAGCTTGTACATCATTCGTATCAGGTCTTCTTTGCCTGTTTAATGACTTCATAAATTAAGATGATAGTATAAATTCACATAAAGTGTGCCAAAATAGCTCCTGACTTCTTTGTCTCTTCCTGCTGCCACCTGTTTGGTTCATTTTGAACTTCACCCCTGCAACATTACTCAGAATGGAAAATTTAACACTGTACAACATCTGTTAAATGAAGTTAAATGAAGCAGCTGGAAACAAGTGACTTTACTGGATTTGAACTCTTGCTACAGAGGAAATGCCACTAAAATGCGCTTTGTTTGCATCAAACCAGTATCCTGAAACTCAGAGAAGAGTCAGCTATAAATATGTATTAGCTTATACATGACATCCTGCTTCCACTGTATTTCCCTTTCCTTCTTTTTCTTTCTTGATTTACAAGTGGTGCAAATAAACACTTTGAACTGACATATGGTGCATGAAACGAAAAAGGAAAAAACACTATATGATTACTTATATCACACGCATACATCAAGAGAAATACTAAACAGTAAGTATATGCATATAGATTTTTATTACCTGGCTTCGAATCAATCCCCTATTAAATCACCTAGTAAGGCTCAGAAGTAGTAATGTACAGGACATACACTGGTGATGCTCCCAGTTACTGGAGTATTTCTCACCACCTTGCTGTACTTCACTAGCTTCAGCAGAGTTATTCAGGAGTTAAAGCAATACAGTATCACAGAATGCTTTAGGTGGGAAGGAACCTTTAGATGTCACCTAGCCCAGCCCCCCTGCAGTGAGCAGGGACATCTTTAACTACACCAGGTTGCTCAGAGCCCCGTCCAGCCTGGCCTTGAATGTGTCCAAGGATGGGGCCTCCACTGCCTCTCTCAGCAATCCGTTCCACTGTTTCACCACCTTCACTGTAAAAAATTTCTTCCTCACATCCAGCCTAAATCTACCCTCCCTTAGTTTAAAGCCATTACTCCTTGTCCTGTCACTACAAGCCCTGATAAAAAGTCTCTCTCCATCTTTCTCATAAGACCCCTCCAGGCACTGGCAGGCCACAATAAGGTCTCCCCACAGCCTTCTCTCCTCCAGGCTGAACAGCCCCAGCTCTCTCAGCCTGTCCTCACAGCAGAGGTGTTCCAGCCCTTGGATCGTTTTTGTGGCCTCCTCTGGACCTGCTCCAACAGGTCCATGTTCTTCCTGTGCTGGGGGCTCCAGAGCTGGATGCAGTACAGGAAAGAGACTGAAATCACACACTGGTTTTATTGGTAGTAAGGCTTCTGAGCACTACGTAACTCCATATTTAGGGCCACTTTCTAGTGCCAGAAGAATGCAAGAATGGTGTCAAAAGGCATCGGTGTAAACGAGTGGCAGCTTTTATAAGCCAAACCTAGAAGAAAAGTAAATGGCACTGTACTGATTTGTACACACATATGTTTTCTTAAATAACCAGTGCATACGTAATCAGAGTTCAAAGCCTCAAGCCGCGTGTCTGGAGAAGGAAATTACATGTATTTGTTTGCACGTATGTGACACACAGTAGGCGAATATACGTGACATTCCTGAGTCAAAACGATGGTGTGCACATATTGTGGGCACAACCTAACTGTTCAAATATTTACACTTGGTCTGTGAGTCAATTTGGATATTCAAGGTTTAATTATGCAAAGTATCCCAGAATCTGCTCTAATTAAAGTGGTAAAACAAAAGAACTTCATTTACCGTCCTGTAACTGTTGAAAAAAGTCACTGATACTGGCCATTCATCTGAATGCTTCCACACTCAAATTCTGCCCAGTGGACATAATGGCTATTTGTTTCTTTTTATTTATATACTTGTGGGGAAAAATGCATCTAAAAGTACTGTAAGACAAACATACACTTGTTCAGTTTCTGAGGTCATGTTTATGAATCAGATATTTTTGCATTCAGTAATAACATTACCCCAAAGAAAGTTATTTTTAATTAAATAACAATAGTAGTAAGCCAGATATTTTTGGTGTGTGTCAAATCAGTAATTTCTTCGTTGGGTTTTGAGCTGAATTTAGGTGAGGCAAAAGGGCTTTGGTTATAAATAGTCAGGGGGCCCTAAAACGTGACTGACTGTGGTTGGCAGTAAAATGAAGCACACAGCAGGGGTGGAGTAGGCTCTGGAAAGAGGCCGTGGCTGGACATGTGAACAGGCATGTTTAAAAAATACCACTACCATGCTCTCCTCTAGACACAGATCTTTTGGCTGTTGTCTCCTCCTTGCCTATTTGTAGTTTTCTCATCTTAAGCTTTTTTCTATGCATGAAGCAAGCAGGACGCACACCAGAAGCTTCACAAAACCAAACTCAGAGCTGTCAGAGACGATGGACAGCTTTTGGCTATAAGAAGGCTGTTCAGGCCACGTCAGAGGCAAGAGGGAACAACCACAAAGCAGCAGTAGATAAGAACCAGTCTTGAAAGCCACGCTGCATCTCGCCAAACACTCGCTCGTCCCAGGTGAGTTACGCTGCTGATGCCTCATTTGTGATCGCAGCTTTCTAGCTCGGTCTAGATTTCATAATATTTTGTCCATCAGCTCAGGTACGAGTCAACAAGCATTGCTGTCCCTGAAGCAGAGCAAAACTGAGCGATGTGCTGAGATAATAACAAAGCAGTGTTATCCTTACCCTGACAAAAAGAAATTGCCCTATCATGCAGCAGCAAAGCCCATCATAAAATGGAAAAAAACACCCAGTCTATTTGTAGTCAGCTTGCCTGTTTGGCTGCCTGGGATGCTGCAATAAATTCAACACAACTATATTACCAAGCATCACCATGGTGCAGGGTTTATACCCAGGTAAATGAAAGCAAAATCTGGGCACAATTCACTAAACATCTATCTATCTATCTATCTATCTATCTATCTATCTATCTATCTTCTACTTGTTGGTTCATACAAGATCATATTTGTCTCTGTCACACCAGCAGGTAATTTTTCCTCTTCCGCCCCTAGCCAGCGGATGAGCATACTGAGGCAAATGCACTGGGCCAGGAAATCTCAGCCCAGAAATACCATTTTCTGTCATTCAGATAAAGCTGAAGAATCCTAACTGCACTTGCAGTAATAACGATCAACCATTATTCCAATAACTAACTCAAAATGATTGATGGATCATGCTAACTGACAGCCATCCTAGAAAAGCTATTCTTTGCATGTCATTTTCTCTGCAGAGAAGTAAGAAATAACTGGGGAATAAGCTTCTTCTCCTTTCAAAAAGACAGAGAGAGAGGGAAAAAGAGAGCTCACAGGCCAAATGTCCTTTCCCTGGACTATTCTGAAGATATTCCCACAATAAAAGCAACCAGAGTGGGCCAGCTATCCCAGACTGGGAACCAGACAGGGACACATAATTCCAGAATATCTGGATATTCTCTGGATTTTGTCAGACTCCAGTGCCTGGACAGAGTGCGAATAAGCAGTAAGGGAAAGGGAATTACTGAGGCTTTTATCTGAAGACAGCCAGAGAAGGTAATAAACTGTCTGTCTTCTGTTAGAGTAGCTTCTTTTCCACCATTTATTCTTCAAAACGTTGGGACAAATTTCTAAAAGGAAATCCGCTGCCTTGCCCTTGTCAGTGAGAGGGGCTTCAGCAGGTAATAAGTGCTAGAAAAAGTAGTAAAAAGTGCTGTAAATCCACATATCAGCTTATCTCTTGGTAAACTTTTCTTTGCTGCCATAACTTAAATGACTCGAATGGTAGGATTTTCACTCCCTCTTTTTTTTTTTTTTTTTTTTTTTTTTTTGGAAAAAATTCCCAACTTTCATTCAAAAAAGTTCCCACTATCCATCTCACTGGTCTATATTTAGTCTGTTGCAAACAGTATCATCACAGCATGAGAAAGAAAAAGGAACCTTAAGCCGTTTCACTCAGGCCATTGTGCTGACAAGACGGCTTTATAACATCTGCAGCATATTCAGCCTGTGCAGAAGGAGCAGCTAGATGCGAGGCTCCACCAGCCAGGACATCTTTCCTTGCCATGTCACACCAAGCGCTTGGAGGCTTTCCATCCTCCACAGATGCAAGGGAAGCACCTCAGAGCTAGGCCTGGCACCTATGGAAAGGGCAGCATCACTGCAGTGGTATCGGGCTGCATTACTGAAGGGTACCAGGTTTTCTCTTCCTTAGTTTCAACCCAATACGTCAAGGCAGACTCTGAAATAATCCATCCTCCTCATGGCTAAACATCTCCTCTGCAGGAGGAACCCAGCTCTTGCTACGCAGCGAGCAACAGCTATTCACTGAGGCCAAACTGACTGTACTGGTTGGAACTACCACAGGGGAAAAAAAGAAAAACCATAATACTGCTGTAGAAGCTTTCCAGTGCGAATGCTAGCGAACAGTACTGTGCACGGTGGCTAATAACACCTTGCATAGAGCCAAGTCTCTTACCTGACTCCTTCATTGAGGTTGTAAAGTTCATGGTCCGGGAGACCCTTACGCTGGAACACCGCTATTACTCCATTGTGGATACTGAAAGAGGACATTAGGAGTCATCAGCACCCGATCACATTTTAGAAGAGTAGCATTTCCACAGTAAGCCTAATACCTCTGCCTAGACACTGCAGGACCTTCAAGTCACAGATGACTTCTGGTAGCCCATCCCAGATGCCTTAAAAGTAATTACTGCCTAGAAAATACATGACGTCTTTGAAAATCAGGTCTTCTTGATTTGTTCCAACTCAGTAACTTCACTAGCTGCACACCCGAAATCAGCAATTTCAGAAAACTTAGGCTTATACATTTTAGGTACTTCAAGCATATTAAGTATAACCTTTAATATATTCATATATTAAGTATGTTTGAAGTATTTTTAAGTATATTTTTTCTCTATGGTGCACCACAGAGACAATTAACAGCTTCACTAGGAGATCAGCAATGACATTCTCAGCATCGTTGGCCTATGTTTGTCTGAGCTATGGTTACTTGATTTCTTTATCAACAAGTCAGCGTTTATCCAGGCTGGACACTATATCTGAAGTCTAACCCACAAATATAGCATCCTTTACTAGAACAGAATCTCAAGAATGGTTAGTTCTTTAAACAAAAATAAAAGAAACACTGGACAATTATGAATTATAAGTCTATTTAACCAGTCTCTCAGTGATTTTCAAAAATGAAACAACAGAAAAGGCGTAACTGGTTACAAAGACTGTTTCCTATTACCACTTACTCACTTCCCAAAGATTTACACTCCAGCTAAAGGAAAACCAAGGCTGCACATAAAGAACAACAGTCTAGAGCTCCTACGGTGGAAAGCGAAAGAGGTAGCAATGTGCTAGACACAGGCAAACCATTTGTCCTACAAAAATGCTCCCCTTTCATTTCAATGCCATTTGTAACTGTTCTGCAAGCAGATGTTGCTTAGAGGCGGTGACTTTCTGCTGCAATCAGATGCAAACCAAGACAGGACTGAGACCACAAAACTCTCTAGCTCAACAGAAAGTCACATACTCAACGCCGTTCATCCCTGGGCGTACAGCCATCAGCCCCGTAAATTCTACGATGCTGAATGGCAAAAACCAGTCAGGTACTGCAGGTACCTGGCAATCCACGTTCTTAGCAGGGATGCTTACTGGTCCCATGAACTTAACAAGACCTCAAAGGGTCACAGACTTTCCACCTGAAAGGGTTACTGAAATGAGTATGTGCTTCAAGAGGAAGCCCTGACATGTTTCTGAAATACACCTGACACAATTAGCGTGATGACACATCAGCCTAAATCACTCAGCTTAGGTTTGAGGACAAAGATAAAGAAGTGGCAGTGAAAGGTGAGATCAAAACTGTTCCAGCATTAGTAGAAGGGAGTAGAATCACAGAATGGTAGGGGTTGGAAGGGACTTCTGGGGATCATCTAGTCCAAACTCCCTGCTGAAGTAGGCTGCACAGGACCTGGTCCAGGCGGGTCTTGAATATCTCCAGAGAAAGAGAATCCATAACCTCTCTAGGCAACCTGTTCCAGGGCTCCGTCACCCTCAGAGTGAAGACGACCAGATTTGCCCATCCTGGAGGTACCAGGATTTCGGGTTGCCCTGTATTGTGGAGAAGAGCTAAAGGTGATATCTGTTCTTAAGGTCACCAGTGGCAGAAAGCCTGATACCTGCTGCTAGCCAAGCTTGGTCAGCTCAGGGCCAGATCCAGCCACGTAGAGCTGCTCCCGCTGCAAGGGGATGCCACCGCAGGCGCTACGCCAGGCGGCAGGGAAGCATGCGTGGGGACCTCAGGTGCCCGCGTTGAACCTCCCCAGGACCCTGGTAAGACAACCCCCTTCAGTGCTTGCTGGGAGCAAAGGACTGGGCTGGAAGGTAAAACCGCCGCTCTCCGCTGAGATTCGGAATGCAGGCGCACAACAACACCGAACAGCAAAGGCATGCACTGCTAGGAAAGCTCAGCCACATTCATCGGTGGAAAAAGGAAATTACAAGTGGCAGGTGAAGGATATGACCTGCTGTGGAGAAATGCACAAGCAGATCAAAACAGCAATCATTATCTTCTCTCTTTTCCTTCTTTGAGGCTGTTTCCAAGGCATTAAGCACATCCCCCCACCACACTGGTCCTTTTTTCTCCCCTACACCCACGTGCACAGACACACATTCATGATCTAACCCAGCGTATTTTGGCTGGCTTCAACAGACACACTCAATTTACGATTATTTGAAAATTGGCAGCTAAATGTCTCTGGTATACAGTGAAGCGACTCGGATATTTTAATATTATGAGTAATACGTGAAGTACGATTAACGGAGTGAATAAAACAAGCAGTCTTTACACGCTCTTCTGATTCGGAAATGAACTTTGCAGTATTCCCTGCCACCCTTCTGCAGAGAAGAATGACTAAATATTTGTCCTAGAAGCCTGCACGCTCTCTCCTTCTTTCTGGCACAGCTTTCTACACGAGGGGGAGGCTTTCTCTTTCCAGCTTACCAGGTCCATTATTATTCCTCAAAGAAATAAGAGAGAACACACTTTTTTAACAAGAACTTAGGGGAAAAGGTTGTGAGCATTTAAGTTATTGCCTGTGCAGTAGAGCTGCACTTACATAAAACATTCTAGCGGTGATCTTTTCACCTGCCTGGGATCTTCCTTGCAGTGAGGGACAACTGCCTTGTCTGGAAAACAAATCTTGTACTGCTGCGTTGAGCAGCTGCCTTTCCTTCCTATCACAGACAGCAGCGCTTGCCCGTACGGTGCAGGCATGCAGGCCCTGGCAGCAGGCAGCACGGGAACGACACCGCGATCTGGCCCTCCACACTTACTCAAGAGGCAACAAAGAGGAGTCACGGAATCATCGGGTGGTTTGGGTTGGAAGGGACCTAAAAGATCATGTAGTTCCAATCCCCCTGCCATGGGCAGGGACACCTTCCACCAGACCAGGTTGCTCAAAC